GCTATTATAGTAAGGACACATCAGACCACTGCTCTCTGAACAAATACAAGTTCCGTTCATTCCTCTGTGACACAGCCCTGCTCAGGAATCCCTTCTTTTAGGAACTCCCTGTAAGTGTGTCCACTGGAATGCGCCCCTTACTGAGGTTCCCCCCTCCCTCTGACCAGGAGACTCAGCCCACATCCCTCCGAGACCCTAGGGGGATTCCTAGCTCCACTATTGCAAATCGCCCGAGCTTCGGGGATTTGGTCCATTGCAAGGGCGTTCCCGTGTGATTGCATCTCTCTACTGGACTGGGAAATGAGCCAGATGTGCGAGAGCTCAAGAGTTTCCTCATCCTGCTGATCGAGGCTGTCATCACACCCACTTGCGAGTCATTGCCGAGCGCATCTGGGCCCTGCTGGCTGGGCCCTTCCCCTGGGTAGGGTCCCGCACGGGGGCCGTGGGAGAGGGCGCAGGGCAGTGCGCACCAGGGCAGGCTGACACGCTACGTACATCTGTGCTCACGACTAAACCCTGCCTGTGTCCGCGCTGACTTTCCAGGATGCAGGGGGAGGAGGGGAGAGCAGGCAGCTGGGAACTGGTTTATATTGAAACTAAAGAACCCTCAGAGCTCTGTAAATTCTCTTGGAAAAAAAAAAAAACAGCATTCATTGTTTTTAAAAAATCTAGTATTGAGCCTCATCCATTTTCAGAAAGTCAGTTGGCAGGGAACTCAGGATTGCTGGATGTGCTGAGCAGAAGAACATTTGGAAATGATACAAATCTACTAAGTGGGAGGCCACATCAGCTTAGGGACGTTGCACAAGGAGAAGTCTAAGGGCAGGGAGGCTGGAGGACTCATTTGCTTATCACCCCTATTTGTCCCCACTGCCCATGTAGCACCTCGAGGGGGAGGGGGAGGGCCTATGGGAACAACGTGCATTCGGACAGCAAGGAGGGTCAGAGTGCGCCAAGCGGGCAGATCCCACACCCTGCCGGGGCGGCCAGGGCCCTGTGCCGGAGGGAGCCCGGGCAGAGGAGGGCAGCTGTGCTGGGAGAGCTGCGACCAGTGCATCTTCTCATAAGGTTTCAGGGCCCAGAGGCCAGTCCAGAATTTCAGCCAACGTTAGGGTTTGCGGAGCAGCCAACAGGCCGCCTGTGCACCAGGCGTGTCCCTGGCACAGGAAGAACCACCAGGCGTGTCCCTGGCACAGGAAGAATGTCAGGAAGTTCTCTCTCCAGCTGTGGGTTCCAGCGTGGGAACAACACAGAGCGGAAACGTCAGGGAGATAAACGAGGACCCGTGGGGTGGAGACGCTGTGATCTGTGCTCATCTGAGGCCGTCCTTGCCGGCGTTAGGCCCCCAGCTCTGGGAGGGTGGGAGTGAGCTCGCCATCATCGGGCGGAATGCCCGCTCCGCGGGGACCTGGGTCACATGGGCAGTGAGAGGCAAGCTCACGTGCGTGCTCTGTGTCGCTAAGAACAGACTTACCGGAGACCCTGAGAAGCCCACCTCACCAGGACTCCCGTTTCTCCCAGGTTCTCCCTTTAGGGAAAGCAGAGAAGCAAAGCAGGTTAGAATGTTCTCCTGGGAGACGAGGTGACAGAGCGACTGCAGATGAAACGTCTCCCTCAGAAAGACTGTGCCCAATGCCCCCCACATGCACCCCGAGCGCTACGTCCGACGGGATCCGCTCTAGCGTCAGCTGTGAGGTTCCACTAATTTACCCAGAAGCAGCAATGACACCGGAGATGCTGGGCCGCCTCAGCCGGGCATGTCATCAGCACCAAAGTTCACCACGTGCGGAGACACACGTGTGGCACTGAATTCAATGTTTCTTAAAACACTCCTTGCCATTTCTTTTCTTGTTATAAAAAATATTAAGAATGGCCAGAGATGTGTTCCTTATGGCCAAATTCAGTGTAATCTGCTTAACCAAGTCACATGACACATCACGGTAAAATACTTACTTTGTTTAGTGTCCCTTGGTCTATCCATAGTTTTATCCTCAACTTCGGTACAAAGAATCCAGAAAAGCAGAGCTGTCATTGCATCCTGCTCTTTGATCAGCTTTTAATGTTAAAATCTGAAGTTGAGCCTTAACTTTAATTAAAGATCCGACTGAAGAAATAATTTTTTCAGCATCAGAGAGCAATGCTGACCCTGCCCTCCTAATGCGTATAAAATCCGCTCAATGACGACCTAATAATAACGGCTTCGCCATCAGCGCATAACCTGTCCCTGCAGATCACTGCAGAGTCCATGGGAACCCTAATGGAAACCCTGGAGAATGCAGGGCAGGGACAGCACCTCACAACACCACAGGGAGAGCACTTAGTTTTGTGAATCCTCTCTGAGCTCTCACTGACTGACACGAATGGAGGCTGATAGTGGGGAATGGAGTGGGAATGGACAAGCGACATTCATGTGACACTGCCACCCCTCAGCCCCCTCCGCCCCCG